TATCTTACACAATTTTAATCTTTGTTAAATACCTTACAGGCGTCCCCAATCCCCGGGACATAGATAGGTACTGATCTGTGGCTTGTTAGGAACTGGGCCACATAGCAGTAGGTGAGTGGCAGGCCAGCCAGCATTACTGCCTGAACTCTGCCTCCTGCCAGATCAATGGCGACATCATATTCTCATAAGACTATAAACTCTATTGTGAACTGTGCGTGTGAGGGATCTAAGTTTGTGCTCCTTATGAGAATCTAATGCCTGATGATCTGAGTTGGAACAGTTTCATCCTGAAACCATCCCCCTCACCCCAACCCACAGTCCATGGAAAAATTGTCTTCCACAAAACCAGTCCCTACTACCAAAAAGGTTGAGGACCACTGCCTTATACTCTCTTAATCTGTGTTAAATATCTTATACTAATCTTTAGAGTAAGAAGGGTTTGCTTTTAATAAGAACACCCAGAATGTTGTTTAGGTATTGATAAATTGAGTGAAACCTCTATCCCCCTTCATGCTTCCAACCCGCAAGATTAAGGTGTTCCAATATTAGTTCCAAGGACATATGAGAATGAACCATAGCAAATAAAATAAATATATATTTGCCTTAAAGTAGTAGAAAGAAAAATAGAAATTGCTGTGGTTAAGAATGGCAACTGCTAAATACATGAAATGAGTTTTTGTTCCTTATGAGTAAATATTACAATGAAATCTCATGGAAGCACTTCATACAGGTAGTCACATTAATCAATAAATTATCAAAAAAGTCTCAGGCTTCAGTTGAGGCAGCTGGATCTAGCAAAAAGAGTCCTGAACTAGAAATCAAGACTTCAGGTTCCAAGCTGGTTCTGCTGCTCATTAATGGAGCATTTTCTAGGCTTTGTTTATCCTCTGTTGGCTTTTTAAAAAATTATATTGGATTATCTCTAAGTCCTTTCCCAGCTCTAAAATTCCGAGAAACACTAGTAATTTCTCTAAGGCAGATCATCTGATTCTTTACTATCATTGCAATTTTCTCTCTGATGTCTAAATGAAGATTAGTTTTATGGTTTATAAATTTGGAACATAAATTAAATCAACTTGGCATTGTAACCACGGATACTTACTATAAACTAGGTAGTAATTCTTTATCTGATTTCTTATGACCAATATTTGCCCTCCTTGTTTTTGTTTCTTCAGGTTTCTTCCTCTTGCATTGCCTTTATTTATTTATTTACTTATTTACTTTTGAGTTGGAGTCTCCCTCTGTCACCCAGGCTGGAGTGCAGTGGCATGATCTCGTCTCACTGCAACCTCTGCCTCCCAGGTTCAAGTGATTTTCGTGCCTCAGTCTCCTGAGTGGCTGAGACTCTACAGGCATGTGCCACCACGCCCAGTTAATTTTTGTATTTTTAGTAGAGACGGGGTTTCACCATATAGGCCAGGCTGGTCTCAAACTCCTAACCTCAAGTGATCCGCCCACCTCAGCCTCCCAAAGTGCTGGGATTGCAGGTGTGAACCATGGTACCCAGCCACTTCCTCTTGTATTGCCTTTAAAAAAAGTTTGCTTGTGAGTATTGTCTGTAAGCTGAAGTTGAATGAACTCTAAGAGTATGTAGTTAAGACTGTCATCGTGTACCATCAACATAACCAGTGTTGCTTAAAACCTGGATCCTATGGTTGACTCCTATAGGGCTGGTAACTTCCCTCTGTCCTTCAGGATCACAGCAGGATCAAAACTACATCACTTGTTACCAAGGAAACTGGGGGGAGTATTCTGAGGATCCTTCCATTTCCTGTCTTCCTCCAGCTGGTGTCCTGTCTCTTTTCCTCCAAAGCAAAATTTCTCCATTTTCTCCTCTTTCCTTTTTTTCTTACCACACATTCATGTAAGAAGATTTTACAGACTGCCTTTTATCCCTATGTCTGGGAGGGTCACTGATGACCTCTGTATGGCTAAATCCAGTGGACGTAATTCACTAGCAGCTTTTTGTTTGTTTGTTTTTGTTTTTGTTTTGTGACAGAGGCTCACTCTGTGGCCCAGGTTGGAGGGCAGTGGTGCAATCTCGGCTCACTGCAACTTCTGCCTCCCAGGTTCAAGTGATTCTCCTGCTTCAGCCTCCCAAGTAGCTGGGATTATAGATGCACGCCACCATGCCTGGCTAATTTCTGTTTCACCATGTTGGCCAGGTTGGTCTCAAACTCCTGACCTCAGGTGATCCGCCACCCTCGACCTCCCAAAGTGCTGGGATTACAGGAGTGAGCTACCGCGCCTGGCCGCTTGTTTAACTTCTCGACAGCGCTTCTTTGTGAAATGTTTTCCTTTTGGCTTCCACAGCACCATATTCCCTGGTTTTCCTGCTACCCTCTTGGCCACTTCTTTTCAGTTTCTTCTGAGGTTCCTCTTCTCCTCATACCTTTAAATGTTGGTGTTCTGGCACAGGCCTTATTCTGGCTTTACTGGCTATCTAGGTGATTCTATGTACTCTCACGGCTTCAGGTATTCTGGTCTCAATGCTGATGTTCAGTCCAAGTCTCTCCTGATCCTGATACGTAGCTGTCTACTGAACACCTCCATTTGGAGTGCTGCACATATCTCAATCTCAAGGCATCCAACATGAAGGCGGGGCACGGTGGCTCATGGCTATAATCCCAGCACTTTGGGAGACTGAGGTGGGCAGATCACTTGAGGCCAGGAGTTGAAGACTGGCCTGGCCAACATCATGAAACTCTGTTTCTACTAAAATACAAAAATAACCCAGACATGGTAGCACATGCCTATAGTCCCAGCTACTCGGGAGGCTGAGGCAGGAGAATCACTTGAACCCAGGAGAATTGCTTGAACCCAGGAGGAAGAGGTTGCAGTGAGCTGCAATTGCGCCACTGCACTCCAGCTTGGGCGACAGAGTGAGACTCTGTCTCCAAAACAACAAAATAACAAAATGGTTCCTATTATTAGGTCTACTTTGCCATATTTTCTCCTCCTTCTGTCTCCACAGCATTCACTTAAGCCTGAAACCTCCAGAAGCCCTCATCCTTGATTCTTCCCCGTCTCACTCTCTGTAGTTCACTAGTCACTAAATTCTGTTTGTACAATTCCTAAACTTCTATTAAATTTGTCTGCTTCCCTCCAAAGTCCTGCTAAATCCCTGATTCAGGCCACCGCCATCTCATGCCTGCGTTACACTGATGACCTCCAGTCTGGAATCTCATTTTCCATATCTTTACAAAGCAGATCTATCACTCTGAACTGTTGTCTCGACCTGAGTTTTGACAGGTGTTGTGCTGGATACGACCATTCAAATTACAGTCACTGGCATCTGAAGAAGTATTCTGTGGGAGTAAATGGAAAATATATATGACTTTTAAATGGGCAAAGATGATACTTTTCTGTAAGAATACCTGCAGTTGTATTATTTGAAGGTCCATTTTCAGAGGTGAGCCGCAAAACATTTGTTAGGTCCCAACTTTTGTCTACCAGTGTTTGTTTTTTTTAATGTGAATTACCAACATCTTTTGCTTTGTTTTGTTTTGAGATGGAGTCTCACTTAGTTGCCAGGCTGGAGTGCAGTGGCGCAATCTCGGCTCACTGAAACCTCCACCTTCTAGATTCAAGTGATTCTCCTGCCTCAGCCCCCTGAGTAGCTGGGACTACGGGCACTTGCCACCACACCTGGTTAATTTTTGTATTTTTAGTAGAGACGGGTTTCACCATATTGGCCAGGATGATCCGCCCACCTCGGCCTCCCAAAGTGCTGGCATTACAGGCATGAGCCACTGCGCCTGGCCCAAAATCTTTATTCATGATGGGCATTAAAGAAGGTGTAGGAGTGAGTGGTTAACACTTACATAGCACTTACCTGTGTCAGGCACGTTGATCAAAATAACCAACGAAGTATTATTATTAAAGAAAAATCTAACTTGGATGTGAATGATCAGAGAACTTAATTTTTAATTTTTAAACCTTGTAGAAATTGTTAAATTAATATAAAGTAGATGTTTATAACTTACACTTTTTAAATTATTTCACTTACTGAACAGATAATAATGAACTTCTAGGTGCCGAGGAAACAACTAAGAGCAGAGCAAAGTCCCTGTCCCCAAAGTCCCTGACCCTTCCTCATCGCCGGGGGAGGCGATTGCGCCGGGAAACCCGGACGCCGGGGCTCCCTTCCCCCGCTGGGGTTACCCGCGACCCTCGGCGCCCCCACCACGCAGCTGGACCTTGTTGGGTTTCGGATGGGAGGAGGGAGTTCACATTTTAACGGGGAAGAAGGATAAGCTAGTGAAATGGACCACTGTGAGAGGACAGAGCAGGGAGATGTCACTATTGCTTGCAGGGTGGACACAGAATGCCTGCAAAAACAACTTTTTTGAAGATTTGGGGGGAAAATTTTTGGCCAAAAAGCTCTGAGAAGGGCAGCTTCTTCCACCACTATTTCACCATTTTACCATCTGTGGGTTATCACCGGGGTCACTGCTATCCCAGCCTAGTCTTTATACAGGATGCAGCACGAACTTCCCGCAACTATCCAAACGGTAAAATGTGCTTTAAAGAAAAGGCTAGTTAAAAAGGAATCCTGCCAGTGCCTGCAGTACTTTTTTCTTTAGTCTCTTTAGTTGACTTGAAATCTCTGCCCGTTCTCAGTGCATGCGGCTCAAAGGTGGGCTGGCGAGCTCCCCTTCTCTTAGCCACCTCGCGGCCCACACTGGGACCGGATCCAGGCATATCTGCAGGCGGGCGGGCGATGGCTCAGGCCCTAACGTCGTCGAGGACGCCAGCCTCCAGATCAGCAGCTGCGGCTTGGCCTGGGCGCTTCCGGACACCGGCTAGAGCGGAAGGCCCAGCGGTGAGGTCCCCGCTCCCCGCCTTCAGCCCGTAGGGGCGCCCTCAGCCCACGCCCCGCCCCATCGCCTTGGCCCTTGTGCTTTGCCTCCACGCCCCGCCCCCGCCCCGCGCCCCACGAGCCCCGCCCCCGCCCGCGAGCCCCGCTCAGCCCCGCCCCCGTGCCCGCCCCTCCCCCAGCATCCCGCTCGGCCCTGCCCCCGAGCCCCACCTACTGAACCCCACCAGCGCCGGTAGCATCTAGCGTCCCCTACGGGCCCCGGGTCGGCTTCCGCGGTCGCCATGACGGCGGCCGTGTTCTTCGGCTGCGCCTTCATCGCCTTCGGGCCTGCGCTCGCCCTCTATGTCTTCACCATCGCCACCGAGCCGCTGCGTATCATCTTCCTCATCGCCGGGTGAGGCGACTGCGCCGGGAAACGCGGACGCCGGGGCTCCCCTCCCCCCCTTGGGTTACCTGAGACCCTTGGCGCCCCCACCGCGCGGCTCGACCTTGTTGCGTTTCTGACGGGAGGAGGGTTGACAGGGGGAGAGCGGAGATCCGGCTTCCCCGAGGCGCCTCGCCCTCCTAGGAGAAAGCGCACACTGGGGGTCAGGGCCTTTTGCCTGGGGCCCATGGGTGGGTTTGGTGAGCCGTGTAGCCACTAAAGTATAAAAAAATTATGGATAAGTTCATACATGCATTCTCTGTATCCTTCATTTTCTGGAGGGAGAGTCCCTAATTTCCCTCACATTCCCAAAGGCATCTGTAATCCCCAAAGGGTTAAGAACCGTTGGCGTCTGGGATGGTAGTGCGCGATCTCTGCCAATTAGAATCACCTGGGACCAGCTGCTTTGAAACTTGCCGATGCCCACCCCCACCGCGATCCATTGAGTCACAATGTCTAGGAGGTGGGATTCGGGCTTCAGTTGTTTTTTTTTAAGCTCTTTTTGGATGATTCCGGAGTGCAGCCGAAGAGTGGAAACCTGTAAAAACACCGAAGCACCTGACTATGCATCTCCTTCTGGGAGCTTGATAAATATGGAACTCTGGTGTCCCATCCCAGTCGTCACCTGGTTATTGCTTGCACATACCATGTCGTCGTCCCCCCCCAACCCCCCCCCCACCCCGTGAGTCTCTCTTGGCACCAGACTAGGCCAGTGATTTCCACTTTTCTGCGTTTCTTCACCTCCCACAAACGTTTTCGAAGTGCTTCATTACATTTCATTTAAAAAATAAGAGAGATTTGGGAAAAGGTTTGTAAAGCTTGCCACAATCCTTAGAATCCACAGAGACGTGGATACTGATCCAGATGAGAACACAGGTTTTCAAGTTGAATTTTATACCAATCACTTTATTAATAGAGATGTAGATATTTTTCTGGAAAAGATGCTCATCTTTGCAGATATCTGACCAGTAATCTGTAATTTCTTGTAGTTTTTAAGGCTATGAAAATTGCAGTAATCAAGGTTGTATATTTTCTTGTTTTGGCTCATCAGTGGGCAGAGCATTGATTAGAAAGAGTACCAAATAGCTAAGTTTCTAGCTAGACAGTCCTTGGCAGATAGAGTGCAGACGTACCAGCAAATACCAGGGTCACTGAAAAAAGAGTAACTTGGGAAATCTCACTATTCCTCTGGGACATGTTTGTCTCACTACAGAAAAGGCACCTTTAAGAACAACTGATGAAAAGCATCACTTTATGAGGACTTTTTTTCCAACCCATATTAAAAAGCCAAGAAATCTCTTCCTTCTAAAGGAGGGTCCCCCCCACACCCGCCTTTAGATCATTATTAATCCTGTACTGATGTTCACTTGTAACTTTTTTTCCCCCATTTTTCAGAGCTTTCTTCTGGTTGGTGTCTCTGCTGATTTCATCGTTTGTTTGGTTCATGGCAAGAGTCATTACTGACAACAAAGATGGACCAATACAGAAATATCTGCTGATCTTTGGAGCATTGGTCTCAGTCTTTATCCAAGAAATGTTCCGATTTGCATATTATAGACTCCTAAAGTAAGTTAAATACCTGCCTTCCCTTCCCTCCTCCCCCCAGTTAGATTTTAGTTATGATTTGGTCATTTGAAACATGAATATAGATTTGTATCTGTATCCTCCTACATAATTCTTAGCCAAGAGTTCGGTCCATTTCCAGCCTGAAAATATTCAGTGTTCTTTTATCTTGTGCACATTTCTTCTTTCCTTTCTTCCTTCATTCAAAAAATATTTCTTGAGAATCAATGCCAGACACTATCCTAAGTACTGGGGATGTACCAGTGATTAAAGACAGAGTCTCTGTCTTCATGGAGCTTACAGTAGGAGGAGACAGACAACAAATGAATGAACAAGAAATACACCATTTTGGTAGATGAGTGTCATGGAGACAAATAAGCTAGGGAGGCATTACAACAACTACAGAAATCATTCCAGCTTAGAATGTTCTTCTCTTTGCCACAACCTAAGACAAATAATTCCTTTTTTTTTTTTTGAGATGCAGTTTTTGCTGTTGTTGCTAGGCTGATGTGCAATGGCGAGACCTCTGCTCACGGCAACCTCCGCCTCCCAGGTTCAAGCCATTCTCCTGCCTCAGCCTCCCTAGTAGCTGAAATTACAGGCGTGCATCACCACGCCCCACTGATTTTTATAAGTTTAGTAAAGACAGTTTCACCATGTTGGCCAGGCTGGTTTCAAACTCCTGACCTTAAGTGATCCACCCACCTGGGCTTCCAAAGTGCTGGGACTACAGGCATGAGCCACTGAGCCCAGTCAAGATAAAGAATTCTTATGGAGACCATGCCTTTTATTATTTTGATGGTAGTAGGGGAAAATGAGAGTTCATTTTGTGATACAGCCTGTAGTTTAAAACCTATAATAGGAAAATACATTTTTAAAAAAGCCTTAGGTTTCCCTATTAGGCCAGAAAGTAGGTCTTCTCTAGGACTCAGGAGGACCTCACTATGAAACTGCTGATTTGAAACACAGCTGGAACTTGGAATTATATTTCCTTTCAGGCAGTCATGAGATTAGCTTTGATTATGTAGTAAGACTTAGTAAAGAGTGATAAATGTGCTGTCTTTTTTCATTTCTGTAAATGAAGTAATTAAGGGTCTCCATGAATTTCATGGATATAACCAAGAGGAACCTCAACAACAACTCTTTTCATTAGGCTTCTGATAACGTTCTTACCAATATGCTATGTTTTCTGTATTTTTTACTCTTTGCTTTTAATAGCAGATACTGAATTTCCTTTTCATAATGAAGGAATTTAAATTAGAAATGGAAAACCAGGAAGCCATTGCTTAGAAGCAGAAATCATATCTTAGAAAAGTTTCAAAAATGAAATTCCCATTAGTCCCTGGAAATATTACATGGGAACAAATAAATATGAAAGGTAACATTGAAATTTCCATGGTAATACAACATCCCTAACAGATGGACATCTAATTGTGTTTGAATGTTTCTGGTATGTTGCAGTTACACCATTCTACAGTTTTAAGCTTAACTGTAGAATATGATTAATGTAACCAGATCTATCTCCACTGGGCTAGGTAGCTCATGCCTATAACCCTAACACTTTGGGAAGTGGGCTGACTGCTTGAGCTGAGGAGTTCGAGACTAGCCTGGGCAACATGGCAAAACCCTGTCTCTACAAAAAACACAAAAATTAACCAGGCACAGTTGGTCCCATTCCTTCAGGTGGCTGAGGTGGGAGGATCACTTGAACCTAGTAGGCGGAAGATGTAGTGAGCTGTGATTGCACTACTGTGCTCCAGCCTGGGCAGCAGAGCCAGACCCTGTCTCAAACACACTCACACACACACACACCCACGCACACCCTTCTGACCTTGACCCTGCGCACCAGGTAAATGAAGTCTCTGCTACGTGGTTATCAGCATGTCCCTTTCAAGGTTGAACAGTCCTCCTTTCTTCACCTGGACCTCAGCAAGCATGGTTGTGGCTTCCAAACCTTTCCAAAAGAAAGGCTGTTTTTTCTTTTTGGTCAGTGGACATGACCCTTTTTGTCAGTGCCTGGTTTTTGCCTGTGCTCAGGACCTGGCACAGTATTCCGCAGTGAGGTCTAAGTAGTGCCCCCACCTGGGCACTGTACCCTTCACAGCTCAGCCTCACGTTGCACTGGGTTTTCCTGTCAGTGACGTCATTGGCTCATATACATTTTCATACAGTGGGTCTAATTTTGGGAAAAAAAAAAAAAAAAAAAAAAACAAACCTTAATTTCTAATTCAGAATTTAAAGTTTAGGATTTGTATGTTCTAAAACCTGAATTCCCAGAGTGCCCAAATGAGTATGAGCTGTTCTTCACTCGCTTGCATCTTCATGGTTTCCACGTGAAATGCCAACATTTTCCTGGCACTAACTTAGAGACCCAAATGACTGTAGCTGAACATAGATCCACATTTTTTTGTTCCTCTTTTTTTTTTTTTTAATTTTAATGTTTTAAATTTTCTTTTTACAGTGAGGAGCAAGGGCCTACTTTTTTAATGAGGGCAGGAAAGGAGTAGGGCCACATGAGGAAGAAATTACTGTTCAGTTGTCAGTCTGTAGGCTTGAATGCCAGGATGTTCAGAGAAGCCTCTCTAGCCTCCTAGGGAAACCATGTTTGCTTTTCTGAAAGGACCTTTGGAAATTTTAAACAATTGGTAGAACAGACTTGTATTAACAGGTACCTTTGTTTGCGTTTGCAAAATGAAGCTTTTACAAGCCTTTAGAATATTCAAAACGTTCCCAGCAAATTTGAGAAATAGATGTTATGTAGTCGTATGAAAACAAGTTTAAAAATTGTAATGCTTATTTGTGACTAACATTTATATGAATATATTTACATTGCTCTCTTATGCTATACTATGTTCAAATATAGGGGCTTTATTTTAATCAATATTTTATCGCCACTGACAAAGTAGGCCTTGAACTTTTAAATTTAAAGTGCTACCTCAAACTTTTGCTATCAGAATTTGGTGCCAAGATTAAAACGTGGAGAGTTTATACCAGTTTTTATAAATATATGGAATTGGATCAAAATATTCATTGCAATCTAATAATAAATAATAATTTTATTTCGTGGGTTAGGCCGTAGTCACTTAATCTTAATAATCTTATTCTTCATGAAATAGTAACCTTCAGCCTGGCAGAGCCTTGCATAATGAGAAATTGGCATGTGACAACAAGGGGTAGCCCTTTCTACAGTCATTAAAAAAAAAAAAAATCCAAGTTATGTTGCTTAAAACATAATGGCATTTTGCCAAGAACATACAGTTTAGGCAACTCTATGTTGCTTGAAACTCCTCTATGTTGCCTAAAACAGACATTAGGATTTTTTCTGTTTGGATGGAAATTTTTGTAATTTAATTCAATTTTGTCTTACAATGTTGATTCCATAAATATGTTGTAATTTTAGAAAACCTTCCATTTATAGAAAAAATGTTAAGATAACCATTGCTACAACTTTTAAGCAACATGTCTATTTTAAAAAATTCCTAAAATGGTGTATTTAACTTGTATTCATATTCCTTTCTCTCCCTCATACGCACATTCAAAAATAGAACAAATGAGAAAGATGGTATGATTTATCAATAGTTTTTCAAAGTTTATATTTTTAAAATTTGAATTGTTTCTCTTTTTGTTTTTGGAAACACAATAATAAATGCAAACAAAGAATTTTCCACTTGAGTAAAATGGAAGTGAACACAGAAACGGGTTATCAATGTTTTGTACTTTCTCACTTCCTGATGTTAACATCGAGAACTCTTAGCTGTTACTTTTCCTCCCATGTACTTCCATAATATAGAATTAGGAAGTTTATTCATCTTTTGAATTTGTTTATTTAATATATTTGTGATAGTAGTACTTTGCTATATGAAATAGCTAAAATCTTTGATTGATTCACTGATTTGCCGTCTCTCTCTGCCACCCAGGCTCGAGTGCAGTGGCGCAATTGTGGCTCACTGCAACTTCCGCCTCCGGGGCTCAAGCAATCCTCCCACCCTCAGCCTCCTGAGTAGCTAGGACGATAGGTGCCTGCCACCACACCCAGCTCATTTTTGTATTTTTTTGGTAGAGAAATAGTCTCCCTATGTAGCCCAGGCTGATCTTGAATTCCTGAGCTCAAGCAACCTGTCTACATCGACCTCCCAAAATGCTGGTATTACAGATGTGAGCCCACATGCCCCGCCTATTTATCTCTTAAATTGGATTATTTTGTCTTTTTATTATTGAGTTGTAAGAGTTCTGTAGATGTAAGTTCTTTTTCAAATATGATTTGCAAATATTTTCTGCCATCTTTGTTGTGTTTTCACTTTCTTGATCGTGTCCTTTGCAGCATCAGAGTTTTTAATTTTGACGAGGTTCATCTATTTACTTTTTCTTTTGTTGCTCGTGGTTTAGGTGTTCGTATTTGAGAAATTACTACTCAATCCAAGGCCATAAAGACTGACACCTATGTATGCTTCTATGTATAGTTTTAGCTCTTATGGCTGGACTTTTCACACATTTTAGTTTTTATATATGGTGTAAGGTAAGGGTCTGCCTTCATTCTTTTGTATGTGATTATTTAGTATTCCGCCACCATGTATTAAAAAGACCACTTTCTTTCCTCGTTGAGTCATCGTGCCCTCTTGTTGAAAATCAAGAGACTGTAAATATAAAGATTTATTTCTGGACTCTCAATTTTATTCTGTTAATCTATGTATCACCCTTACACCAGTATCAGATGATCTTGAATACTTTACTTTTGTAGTAAGTTTTTTTTGTTGTTGTTGTTTTTTTGGTGAGACAAAGTTTCACTCTTGTTGCTCAGGCTGGGATGCACTGGCAAGATCCTGGCTCACTGCAACCTCCACCTCCCGAGTTCAAGCAATTCTCCTGCCTCAGCCTCCCAAGTAGCTGGGATTACAGGCATGTGCCACCACACCCAGCTAATTTTTTATATTTTTAGTGGAGACAGGGTTTCACCACATTGACCAGGCTAGTCTTGAAATCCTGATCTCGGGTGATCCGCCCACCTTGGCCTCCCAAAGTGCTGAAAATATAGGTGTGAGCCACTGTGCCCAGCCTGTAGTAAGATTTCAAATGGAGAAGTGTAAGTCTTTTAACTTTGTTGTTTTTTACAAAAACCAGTAACAGTTGTTTATTATCATTATGAAGTATTATATACTGTACATAGTTGTATGTGTTATGGCAGGGTCTCTCTCTCTCTCTCTCTGTTGCCCAGGCTAGAGTAGAGTGGTGCACTCATCTCACTGCAGCTTCCACCTCCTTGCCTCAAGCTGTCCTCCCACCTCAGCCTCCCAGGTAGCTGGGACTACAGGTGTACGCCACCACACCTGGCTCATTTTTGTATTTTTTTGTAGAGACAAGGATTCACCATGTTGCCCAAGCTGATCACAAACTTCTGGGCTCAAGTGACTTGTTTGCCTTGACCTCCTAAAATGCTGGCATTATACGTGGGGGCCACTGTGCCCCGCAAATATGTGCAGTGTTTTTATATGACTGGCAGTGCAGTAGGTTTGCCTACACCAACATCACCACAAACACGGGAGTGATGCATTTTGCAACAACATCATGACGTCACTAGGCAATAGGGATTTTTAGCTCCATTATAATAAGGACAACCATTGTAATCCATTGTTGACTGAAATGTTGCTATGCAGCACATAACTGTATTTCATTTTATTTACTTTTAGGTTCAAGGGTACATGTGCAAGTTTGTTATATGGGTAAATTGCAATCCTCCCCCTCCTCCCACTCTAGTCTCAGCTAGGCCCCAGTATCTGTTGTTCCCTTCTTTGTGTCCACATGGACACAAGTCTTTTATTTATTATTGAGCAATTTATATAAGACAGAAATCTTCCAAAATTTATTGATTCTACTATATTGATACATTTGTTGACAGAGATTATTACTATATTTTATGTCCCATAAGCTTTAATTAGCTCTTAACAATATCACTATGAGGGGTAAGTTTATTTAGGAAAATTGGGCATTTTAGTTGTTTACTGCTACAGAGAAAGAAGATGGTAACTTAAATTTTTGGTTCATGTCCTCACTACCAAACACCACTTCCAGATGGACAGCACCAAAATGGCAGGTTTTTTTGTTTCTTTTGAGTCTAGAAAAGCAAAGGACCCCTTCACTAGGCTTATTCCTATTTTGGTTGAATTCTACATTGCCTTAATTTAATGTAATCAATGCTATTTATATTTATGTAATGAATAAGCTGATTATAATGAATATGCATACCTTGAAATTTAAAATAACACAATGCCCAGAAAATAAGTATCTTCTGGTTAATTTAATTGTCTATTGCTAGAGTTAACCTGTCTCGTTCCAGCATTTGCTAAAAAATTATTTTTAAAATGGTTTAGTTCTTTTGTTGTCTTAATAAATATACTTTATAGTAAATATAATTTAAATGTTCTTTGAGTCAGGATTTTACATTATTGCAGAGTTTTCTCACCAACAAGGATTGGTAATAGTGATGCTAGTAGAATTGACCAGCCACATTTAGCATTCCTAACACATCTGCGTGGGACTCATGGTAAGCTTATTAATTGGCCACAGCAGAAGCATGCATGAGATCACTCTGAAGATCATCGCTTTATTTTATTTTTTGTAGAGAGAGGACCTTGCTGTGTTGCCCAGGCTGGTCTCAAACTCTTGGATGCAAGTGATCCTTCTGCCTTGGCCTCTCAAAGTGCTGAGATTATAGGCATAAGCCACCATGCTCAGGCTAATAATCTATAAGCTATATATAAATTAAACATGTATGTACTATATATTAAGAATAAGGAGAGATTAGTGATTACCAGCCGTTGGTAGAGACAGCTGCTTTAGCAAATTGCTGCCTGAAGTGGACTTTGAAAGATGCGTGCAGTTTAGGTTCTACAGAATGGAAGATACAAGGGAGGGTGGCAGAATAAGTATAGCCCTGGTAGAAGATAGAACAAAGTGCCAACAAAGCAGGAATAACGTTACAGTACTTTGGGAAGGGAGAAAAAACCCAGAGTGGTAGATCCCATAGGATATTGAATTAAATATTTGCCAAGGTCAGAAAGCAATTGGAAGAATTGTGGTTTTTATCTTTCAAAATTCAATTCCTGATGGCTTGTTTGCTTATATTTTTCTTACCGTTTTATGTGAATGTCAAAGAAAAGGTAAAAAGTAGTTGGAAATTTTGGTTGATTTTAGTTCATTGAAAATTTGCCAGGTTTTGTTTAACTGAATTATAGATTTAGAGCATAACCTGATGCAAAGCCTCATTGAGTATCTGGGTTTGAAGTGTCTTGTTGGACTTTCCTGATACAATGCTCTTTCCTTTTTTCTTAATTCATGTGTGGTTTTATTTTAGAAAAGCCAGTGAGGGTTTGAAGAGTATAAACCCAGGTGAGACAGCACCCTCTATGCGACTGCTGGCCTATGGTAAGTTAAAACCACATGGTTTCATTAAGAAAAAAAATCAGACTTGGCATAGAAGTCATTTGTATCTTTTGTATCTTTGTAGATTTCAAGTAATTTTTTTATTGCTGCCTTGGCCTGTTGGTGTACATGTTTGCTTATTATCCCAGCTTTCCAGGTTCCTTTTGTAAAGGAAAAGTGATTGCAAGTGACCCTTCCCTGTATGTTCATTATATATTAACCAGGTTTGAAAGTTAGGTTTTTAATGTGTATATACCCTAGTTAACTAAGATTTTCTGAGTGATAAAACTGTTACTTTCTCTGAATCTTGCCATGACTTTGGCTGTTCTAGGAGGACTCTTGGTATTAAAGCGGTTAATATCTCTGCATATTATACTTTGAGAATGATGTTTAAGATTGGATCTAGGTTTCCCAGTTTGGCTCAGGAACACATAGTTCCCCTTTACACTCAATTTTAGTTCTAAGCTGTCAAACTGAACTCTGTGGACTCTGTTATCAAAAAGTAAAGCCAGAGTTTTGGCATTGTATCCTCTGTCTCACCTATTGTATGCCTTTCTAGACCTTTTTCTCCCCTTTTTCATTACTCTGCTGCATTCTACCATTCATTTCCTTTGCTCTTCCCCCTTCTCTCTCCATTCCTCATTTAGCCAAGCACATGACTCTCCAGCCAGCTGCCTGCTACTTCAGGGAGAACATAAGCACCCTTTTCCCTCCAACACACTTGTATTAACTAGTCCTTGGAAATTTGACTTGAAAATAAATCTTGGCAGGAAAAGAGTTAACAGTGTTTTTCTTCCTCCTTAGTTTCTGGCTTGGGCTTTGGAATCATGAGTGGAGTATTTTCCTTTGTGAATACCCTATCTGACTCATTGGGGCCAGGCACAGTGGGCATTCATGGAGATTCTCCTCAGTTCTTCCTTAATTCAGGTATGTGTCTTATAGCTGTCAATATTCAGCCTTCTAGTGTAAATAGTCATTCTTTTTTTTTTTTTTTTTTTTTTTTGAGACGGAGCCTCGCACTGTCACCCAGGCTGTAGTGCAGTGGTGTGATCTTGGCTCACTGCAACCTCTGCCACCTGGGTTCAAGCAGTTCTCCTGCCTCAGCATCCCGAGTAGCTAAGACTTCAGGCGCGTGCCACCATGCCCAGCTAATTTTTGTATTTTTTAGTAGAGATGGTGTTTCACCATGTTGGCCAGGATGGTCTTGATCTCTTGACCTTGTGATCCACACACCTCAGCCTCCTAAAGTGCTGGGATTACAGGCATGAGCCACCGCGCCAGGCCATCTAAATGATGATTCTTGCTGGAGTTCACCGCCTTAGAAATTCCAGTGAATAGGAATTTTACATTATTTCTCTTAAAGACAAAATACTCTAAAGTAAAAAAGACTTAGGAAAATAAAAATTTTGGTTAGAGTGTTTTAGAATTTTAGAGTGGAATTTAGCTTGCATAAAATTTATTTTTATTTTGTTGTACTATCAATGTTGCTGTATAGTTGAAGTGTTAGAAGTGATTTTTTAAGGCCATGTTGCTCTTTTTGGTTCTCATGATTTTATGTTGTCTTCAGTAGAAGCCCTAATCTATAATTGTCTTTGTGGTGCTTTTTGTGGGAATAGGCAGTATAATTTAATCTTGAAATTGAGAGGAAAAAATGGCATAATAGATGAGTTGATCATTTCATCCAAACGATGCGACTAAAAGGACCAACTTATTTCAAATTACTTTTTCATCCATGAGCTAAAAACTGTCATGATGATGCAACGATCGCAAATCTGAGAGTTGGTAGAGCATAGATTTCCTCCACACTCCACAAGAAGGCTCATGAAAATAGGGGAAAACACCCATTGTATTTTTAGTCATTTCCACAACAGTTATGCCATTAAAATAACTGAGTTCACATGCATGTTATTTTAATTATATGATTTATATGTTATTTTAATAACATCTATGCCGGAGCTCCTCAGGGAGCTTACCCTCTAATAGGGGAATAAGATGAAAAAAAGTGAATAAGCATTCCAGTAACAGTTTAAGGTAATAATAGAAAAGAAATAAAGAGGTATGACCAACTTTTATTTTTTTTTTTTTTTGAGACAGAGTCTTGCTCTGTCACCCAGGCTGGAGTGCAATGACCCGATCTTGGCTCACTGTAACGTCCGCCTCTCAGGTTCCAGGGATTCTTCTGTCTCAGTCTCCCGAGTAGTTAGGATTACAGGTGCTTACCACAATCCCTGGCTAATTTTTGTACTTTTAGTAGAGACAGGGTTTTACCATGTTGGTCAGACTGGGCTTGAACTCCTGACCTCAGGTGATCCACCCACCTCAGCCTCCCAAAGTGCTGGGATTACAGGTGTAAGCCACCGCACCCGGCCAGGTATGACCAATTTAAAAAAATTTTTCTGCAATAATTTAGAGGCATGCTCAATGTCATAGTTATCCTAAGCCCAATGGACTTGGCATTCTCAGTAGACTCTTTGTTTCCATTTCAGGTCAGGCCTTGACATCTCCTCTCTAGATTACCACCATCTGCCCCCAATAGATTAGTCTTTCCTTGACACACTTTCCATGTGAATCCTGTTTGCAACTACTAAACTAATCTTCCCTGTTGCAAAAATGATTTGGTTTTTCAGGGCCTACAGGATAGAGTCAAGGCCCTTTAAATCTGGCTGTAAGTTAGAGGACAATAAAGTGTGTTCATGGGTCATACTTATTTTGATGCTTCCAACATAGCAAATTATCTTTCTTTTGAACATTTCATCATTGGAATATTTCTGGCAAATACGTTAATGATTGATTATATTGAGTGTTAGGTCTTTAAAACAAATGTGATATTAGTCCCAATATAAGTTAATAAAACATAATTGCAGGGGGTGTTAGTGCTACTGTTTTCTGTTTTCTTACGCTGCTAACACGGTTCTGTCTCCCTGCTAGTTTTTTGATATACAAGTTTTGCCAGCTTCTTTCACTAGATGGTGCTAATTCCCTTTAGTGACCTAGGCTGTTTTCATAAAACATTTACAATGATTCTTTTGGCAGAACGTAAAAGAAAGATTTGATACCAATTTGGACTTGTATTTGTAATTTCTATGAATTAAAGGAAGAACTCAATATTCAATGAGATACCTTAATGTCTTTTGCCAAGTTAGGATTTTGGATTGGCCATGTTATAAATTTGTATCTACAGAATGAAAGAATGGTGTTGTTTTATCATGTGCAAGTTTCTTATTGTTATAACATTCTTTGAAGCATAAACTTTATAAATTTAAGAAATTAATTTTTATTACATTTGAAAATAAGACCCCCAAATTTATATTTATTGTATTTATGTTACTTATAACTATTTGTAATTACCATTATTTAGACACAACTCATTTTTGTCAGGTAAGTCTGTAACTTTATATGTTTCACATATTCCATTACAAATGCCTAAATGATAATAAGAATAAATAAGGAATGTAGGGTCACTAATTACAGATTGAGCATCCTTAATCCAAAAATCCAAAATTCAAAATGTTCCAACATCCAAAACTTCCTTCACCAACACGACACCACAAGTAGGAAATTCCACACCTGACCTTATGTGATGGGTCACAGAGCAAGAGAAAACTTTGTTTCATGCACAAAATTATTAAAAATATTGTGTAAAATTACCTTCAGCCTATGCATATCAGATATATATGAAGTATAAATGAATTTCATGTTTTGTCCAGGTGTGGTGGCTCATGCCTGTAATCCCAACACTTTGGGAAGCCAGGGCAGGAGTATCACTTGAGCTCAGGAGTTTGAGACCAGCCTGGGCAATGTAATGAGACTTTGTCTCTACTAAAAATTTAAAAACTTAGCTGGGTGTCATGGTGCACACCATGGTCCTAGCTACTCAGGAGGCCGAGGTGGGAGAATCACTTGAGCCCAGGAGGTTGAGACTGCAGTGAGCTGTGATCGTCCCACTGCAATCCAGCCTAGGTGACAGAGGGATACCCTGTTTCAAGAAAAAGAAAAGAATTTCATGTTTAAATTTGAGTCTTATCCCCTAACATTGTATATGTAGAAATATATATGCACAAATATTTCAAAATTCAAAAAAATCTAAAATTTGAAACACTTCTATTCCCAAACATTTCAGATAAGGGATATTCAGCCTGTAGTTATATATCTGTCTATACTAGTGTATGTTAATAAAATCCATACTATATCATACCTGTATGTACATAGGTTTTCATGTTACAAACAGGCATAGTTTATAAATAATGTTTATTTATAGGTTACTTCTTTTTTATTTGTCATTATGTTGTAGGCTAGTCTTACATTTTACTAAAATCATTACTGTTTCTCGGTAATGGTGTATAGAGACACAAGTATGGGAATTGCAATCCTAGGTTCAAGTCTTATCCTGGCTCATTAATTCAGTATTTTGGGCAAGTCCATCTGATTATTGAATCACTCATTCCACAAATAAATATGAAGTGTTTTAGTCTAAAGGAGTTATACCAAGCTATGAAAATACAGCCCAATTACCATTCTTAATTTCAATTCATAGTGGGGAATAAAGACAAACAGCTAATTACTATAAAGCATGATGGGTGCTACAGTGAAATGAGGATGAGCCATGGGACACAAAAGACAGGCTCTAACCCATGCTTTCAGGCCACAGTACCTTGCCATTGCAGCATTTATCACAGATGTGATGAACTGAGTAAAGGTGTAGTTATTTGTGTAACGTCTTATCTCCAGCTGGATGCTAAGCCATGCAAGTGCGAGACAACATCTGTATTGCTCACCGCTGTATCCTCAGCATCTTGTGGAGTCCTTTGTTTCTAGATGGTACTCAGTAAATACTAAGAAATATTAAAGCCAGGCACAGCTTAGGGAGGAAGTGCCATAATGAGTAGAGATCTACTTAAAGGGTGATTAATAGCTAGGGAGGCAAAGAAAGGGGTTGTCAACTTCTAGCAAACCTCCCAGTGCTGACTCCACAGTGATGAGGTAATTTGAGGCGAGTGTTTAGTCATTCCTCAGCATTGGCTAGGAGGACTTTAAACATTAATATCTTAGAGAAGGTTATTTGATTAGCGATTTATATCTGTATTACAGTAAATCAGGCCACAGAATTCTCTTACATTCTTTAAAACAAAAATGTTAAGTTAAATCCCCATTAGGGAAAGTGATTTTCAAAAGCATTCATTCAGCTCTGAGGCCTGATTCCCCTTTGCACCAGCTGATTGAGGGATCTCTCAAGAGTCTGGAGAGTTTCTGCAGCCAGGATGGAAGGAGGAGCGTCTCCTGCTTCATGGAACCCTGAAACCCCTGACTTTCTACTACTAAGAAAAAGGAGCCAAAAGCCCATTGATCTTCACATGCTGCCTCTGGGCAGCTGCAACTGAGCCTTGGCCTTAAGAAGTTGTCCTTTGCCTGTGGCTGCCACCACCCAGCAGCAGCCCTTGGCTTGCTCTGACCTAGTTAGAGATACCCTGCCTGTGTTAGGGGAAGCCAGGTGATGGCAATTTATGTGCTGGCAGGAAGCCAGTATTAGATGCAATTGCTGTCTTAGGCCATTGGCTTTGCAAGGAGAGAAAAGTAGATATCAGGAATGAGAGAAAGGAACACGTGAAAATTAGGGTACTTATGAATCTGTGTGTTAGAGCATTTGGGGTATATTCAGGAAGGGTGAAGGAGCCAAATAATAAATGTTTCTTGAAGATAACACTGAAACGTTTTGCTTAGAAATAGGTTAGAAATATTCACTACCAAGATATTTTGACTTAGAAGATTATTCGAAGAGGAAGTCCATTATCGACTAGACAGAGTTGTCACAAACTGATATACAGTACTTGTTAGAATTATTTGGCTTTCTGATTAATGTATTACAACATTCGAAATTATAGAAGTTCCTTTAATCTGTATTAATATAAGCTAATGTTGATATGCTTAAC